GGGAAAACGAAAGTGACACGATGAGGAGGCGAGTGAAATGCCAAGGAAACAATACTCAGAAATGCAGCTCTGTTTGTTACCAGAGTAAGAATTGAGCCAGCTCGTCTCTTACATAATTTCCCTGATTATAAGAATTTGAAAGCAGGTGTTGTGGGCATCTGTATGAGGGCTAGCACTCACCGAATTATTTTCATTTGTGAATAAATAGTGTCAGGCTGCGCAAGACGGAAAGAAGCTTTGCTGTATTACCGTCTTTCCTGGAAAAGATTGATTTTTCTCTATATCCATTAGAGGATATGAATCATGATACCTACAAGCAACATAAGCAAGCTTTTATGCTGCTTTCTCATTAATTAAAGCATTTTCCAAACACTGTAAATCACTCTCTAGCTGGGCGACCAGACTTTTCTCTTTGCTGCTTGATTTTCTACCACACTTAAAAAGAAAATTTCACTGGAAGATGGGTAAGTCCTTTGCCTTTGCCAAAGAAACTTTAAAAAGGATCATGGTGGTGCAATTTGAATTATTTTAAATTGTTTATTCACAGGGAAGGTCAGTGAGTTACAGTTGCCTCTACAATCATGGAATTTTTAAAGGAACTTAAAGAGATCTACTCTGATTTTAAACAAGGAAGAAATTGAATCAGCCTTAGCCCGGGTAGCATCTGTGGGAAAAAGTAGGCGAGAATCCAAGTCTATCATCCTAGGATAATATTTTGCTTATTTTTTTCAGTCAAGCACACAGGAGTGATTGCTTCATAAATATAAGAGTTTCCTGCTTAGGATTACCACAGACACAGGTCCTCTAGCCACTGACCATTTCAGGTTGGTGTTCCCACTGCTCTCCTTCCTGTCTTCCATAGCTGAATAGGCAGTGATTTGGGAGTCTATTTTTAAAAGCAAACCAGAAAGATGCAGGAAAAGAGAATGAGCATGAAATGAAGCAGCTCAAGTATTTAGACATTTTCACAAAATGCTGAGTTAAGGAAGTTCACCACCAGCAGTTGAAAATAAATAGCTCCATTGATTGGGGAAAATGAATGAGAAGGTCTAAACATTATCAGGTCTCTCAAAGTTGGTGTGATAAAAGTTGAGATGTTTTGCAAGATCCTGAGAGAAAAGGTAGAAGTGGGCCATTTGTGCTCCTCTATAAGATGAAGTTTTTTATGCTCAGGAGACAGCATGATATTGTAAAACAGACTTTGGACTCACCCAGACCTGGCTCACATTGTAACCTAATTTACTCATCAGCATTTGGTTTGACCTTGGACTGGTTTTCTAACCTCTCTAAGCCCCAGTTTTCTTTATCTACAAAACAGGGAAGATTTGTTAGTTATTGAGGTTTTTGAGGTAATGTGTATGAAAAATATGGCATCTGGGAGCTCTGAAAATATTAGTCACTTTCTCCACGTTTCCCCGAATCTCTGAGACAGTGTAGGATTTTGCCAACTAATCTGGCTTCGCACTTAGCTCTGCTCCTCTCCAGGGAGCATGGGGGATGATAACAAAGGGGACATGTGGTGCAGTTGACCTTTGAGGATCAAGAATCAAGTCAATTTATGATTGGGAACCTCTGAATCAGTCCATCGTGACACTGAGGATGGTTTCTGCTGAAATTGAAATGCGGGCAGCATAGCATAAGCAGAGGGAAGACGCTAGGTACCATCCTGCTTCTGATGATTGAAAACTAGTATCGATTCTGAATCCTGATTCCCCCACCCCCAATTCATCTGTATCATTGCAGTTATTTAGCTTTGTACCTTGGATCCGTTTTATCCTGCAGCCACTCGAATGGTATTTTTAGAGATGTTTCTCAATTAAAATAAGATTTAAAAGATTTTTTTACAGCACTGACCCTTTTGCACAAGCCAGAAGAACAATTAAAGACACACAGTGCCTTGCTTCCTGTGAGAAATACTTGGCAGTTAGCCTTTGTAATTATGAAGCCATCGTGTTAATAGATGTTTAAGGATAATGCAACTAGAGCTGTCCTGAGCCAAGGACGGAAATGAACATGAGACCGTTTTTTTGAGACCAATTTTTTCTTCCTCAACTGGGACTCAAGTGCCCAAAAAGGGATTTTAATTCAGGGGATCCAGAAGCTTTTTTTTTTTTTTTTCATTTTTCCAGAAGTTTTGGACACTAGTTTTTCCTCCTGGGGGCAAACCAAAACTCAGTTCCCAGGAGCATTAGGCTCTTCTCATTTCTTACCAGTCAGTAGTGAAAGAACAATTCATAGTCCCAATATCTTCTTTTCTCAGTTCTTTAAATGCTTGTTTCCTTTAAAAAGCTTAAGTTTTAAAAAGGGAAAAGAATGGCCAATAGGAGTGGACTAGAAATAATAGAAGAAAATTAAGGCAGATACAAAACAATGAGAAAATGTCTCCTCATAAGAATGTTGAACATAGGAGACCCCAAACGTTGCCTTGCATCAGACATGTTGAATTGTCTCTTGATGGATCTCCAGAGGTGACTGTCCCCACGATCCCTTTTCTCTCCAGCTGTGACTTGCATTGCACGCTCACCCAACACTTTCCTCTTCCTGCAGGAAATCTAAAAGCTCTTTTGAGAAACTGACTTTATTCACATTGTTGAAAAAGTCAAGAGTTCTGGATAAAAAGTGGTCATATAAAATACTGTCTTTTCCTTTAGTTCATTGGTTCATTTGGCCACGGAGTAGTTCTGGGTTTTAGTTCAGTTGTTTGCAAATAAATGTGCTTATTGTATCACTGTATTTTCATCACCCCTTTGCTTCTAACATCACCTTCCAGTACTGGTTTCTTCTAATCCCAGACTGCCCCAAGAAGAATAGTGGAGCAGGAGAGAAGGAGACCTAGTTCATTTGCATTGTGTTTTGCTGGTTGATGTCTTTTCACAGAAGCTAATTGAGTTAAATAGAATAAAAAGTTGGGAGATGTCTTTGAAACAATCTAATTCCTGTGCATCCATAGATAATTGAGTGCCTACTGTGTGACAGGAAACAATGCCAGAAACAGCTCTGTGAATTCATCCATGAGAACCTGAGGCATTGGGTCATTTGCCTAGGATACCACAGGCAGTTGAACTGGGACTAGAGTCACCATCTGACTTTCAAATCCCTCACTATGCTG